CAGACAAGCAAGTAATTGCTTGCCTTTGTGAGGCCGTCAGCGCTGGGTCCCCGGCCCTCTGATCCCCCATTAGCGGCCATGCAAACAAGCCTTCCACCCAATTAAGCCCAGCTTTGATAGAGCCTTTCCCAATGATGTGGCGGTCCCAAACTAGCGATTCGCACATGAGCCACTACCTGTTAAACCCGGAGCCGGCTTCCTTCGGGGATGAGCATCCCTCGCCTCTCGCCGTGACCCAGCTGCCGAGCTCTGCCCGGCTTCCCCTGGCCCTGAAGGGAGGCTCGGCTGATAAATGATCTCGACAAACTCTATATTAAAGAGGTGGAAATGGGATGTTAATATACCCCAAGCCGCTCATCTCGAGAATACACGGGCTCCAGCTTCCCGAAGATGCCGGTAATGAGGCGGGCTGGGATGCCCGCGAGGAGACCTCGACCCACTGGCCTCCTGCGCCTGCCAGGTGTGGAGGACAGACAGCCCGACACGACACCCGTCCTCTGAGGCATCTTCACACCGTCCCGCAGAGCCCCCCCGGGGCATCCCCTAAAGCATCTCAATCTGCTCACTGAAAGCATCCCTGCAGCATCCCCTAAAGCATGCCAGTGTGCTTCCCTGGAACATCCCAGCTTTCTCACTCAGCACACCCTAGCATCACCCCCTAAAGCACCTCAGTGTGTTCCCCTAAATCTTCCCAGTGTAATCCCCTAAAGCATGCCAGCATCATCCCCTAAAAAATCCTGGCATCATAGCCTAAAACATCCTGACGTCATCCCCTACAGCCTCCTAGTGTCATCCCCTAAAGCATGCCAGGGTGTTCCTCTGAAACAGCATTATTCCTTTGCACACCCTGGCATTGTCCCCTAAAGCATCTCACTGTCTTCCTCTAAAGCACTGCAGTGCACTCCCCTAAAACTTCCCAGGATCATTCCCCTAAAGGATCCCAGCGACATTCCCTACATCATCCCAATACCATTCCCTACAGCATCCCAGTGTGCTTCACTGTAGTGTCTCACTGTCATCCTCTAATACATCCTGACATCCCTCCATGTATCCCAGACTCATCCCCTAAAGCATCCCAGTGACATTCCCTAAAGCATCCCAGTTTGCTCCCCTACGGTATCCCAGCGTCATCCCCTAAAATGTCCCCATACAGTCCCCTCAAATATCCCAGCATATCTCCTTAATTCATCCCACCATCATCTCCTAAAGCATTCCAGCATGCTCCCTGAAAAATCCCAGCACCATCCTATAAAGCATGCCAGCATCATCCCCTATGGCATCTCAGTCATTCCCTACAGCATCCCAGTGCTATCCCTACAGCATCCCAGTGCCATTCCCTACAGCATCCCAGTGCCATCCCTTAATGCATCCCAGTGCTATCCCTTAATGCATCCCAGTGCCATCCCTTAATGCATCCCAGTGCTATCCCTTAATGCATCCCAGTGCCATTCCCTACAGCATGCCAGTGCCATCCCTTAATGCATCCCAGTGCCATTCCCTACAGCATCCCAGTGCCATCCCTTAACGCATCCCAGTGTCATTAACTACACCATACTAGTATCATGGTGCCATTCCCTAGGTCATTTCAGTGTCATCACCTACACCATACTGGTATCATTTCCTAAAGGATCCCAGTGCCATTCCCTAGAGCATTCCAGTATCATCCCCTACAGCATCCCAGCATCATTCCTTAAAGCATCTCAGCATCTTCCCCTAAAGGATCCTAGTGCCATTCCCTACAGCATCCCAGCACCACTCCTTAGGGATCCCAGCACTATTCCTTAGGGATCCCAGCACCATTCCTTAGGGATCCCAGCACTATTCCTTAGGGATCCCAGCACCATTCCTTAGGGATCCCAGCACCATTCCTTAGGGATCCCAGCATCCTTCCTTAGGGATCCCAGCACTATTCCTTAGGGATCCCAGCATCATTCCTTAGGGCATCCCAGCATTATCCACTAAAGAATCCCAGTGACATCCCCTAAAACATCCCAGTGACACCCCGTAAAGCATTCCAGTTTACTCCCTTACATCATCCCAGTGCCATCCCCTACAGCGTCCCGCAACATTCCCTGCAACATCCCAAACGATTCCAGCCCCATCCCGTCCATCTCCGCTGCCCCCAGTCCCCAGCATTGCTTCTCCTCACCCCCAGCAGACCCCCTTCCCCCTCTCCCCCCCTCCCCCCGCCCCATGCGCCGCCACAACCTCTATAAATATTCAAAAAGCCGCGTTTTGCGGCCAAGCTCCCAGCTCGGGGTGGGGGCTCCCAGGGGAAATGTTAATAACGGGATTCCCCCGGGCAGCGGGAAGGGGGGGCCCAGCCACTCATTTGCCCAGACAAATATCTTGTCGCTCCTCATTACGGTCTTTGTGCCTCAGTTTCCCCCCCGATGCTGCCTAGCGAGGGTTGAGAAGATTCAGGAGGAGCAAGGAAGCGGCAAAAACAAGGCGGAATAATGAGGACAACGAAGTGTGGAGGAAGCCTCCCCCCCCGACCTAAAAACTTTGGGAGATGGGGGGGTGATTTGGGCAAAGCCTGGGCAAACAACCGCTAATCGCCGAATCAAGCGGCAATTAAACGCCGCGGCGGCGAGAATAAATCTGCTAACAAGGAGGCAATGCCCCCGCGCTCGCTGTTTGCCCAGCTGATTAACGGGGATGAATCTGAGGGGGATTATCCATCGGGATGAGGCGGCTCCTTTGTCTCCATTCCCCATCCCGAGCTGCCTCAGAGGAGGTATCGGATGTGCTTGTGTCACCCCCGGGAGCCCATCGATGCAGCCTCAGAACTCATAGCGGGATTAATACAGAGGTGCTTTAATCCCTGGGGCTCCCAAAACCTCCAGGACTCCCATTAAAAACTCTCCCGTCTTCCAAGCACTCCATGAAAAGGGGCTCTAAAGCTCTCCGGGGATTTAACATCTTTTTCTGTCCTGTAGTCCCGTGTCGAAGATGTCCCATCCCTTGGCTCAGCTCCCCAAAAGGAGAAGGTGGGGAAACACAGCAGCTTTTAATATCCCACCGATGCCAACAATTCCCATCCCGAAGTATTATTCAGATAATAGTTGGATAAACCCGTTATTCTACAGATAATTTTTTTTTTTTTGATCCTACTGAGAAATCCCTGGGCTGCTGCATCCTCAGCAGGAGAAACGGAAAAGCTTTGTGCTCCTATTAAATTAATATTTATTTACTTTCTCCATGCCCGGCTCAGAGGGATGGATGAATAATGCATCACCCCCTGGACACCCAGATAGGAGCTTTGGATCCGACAGATTCGACGGGATGTGGAGAGCCCAGAGGGTGCTGGTGAGGCTGAATGGTCCCAGATGTGCACAGGAGTCCAGATGTGTGCCTGTCTGAGGCCCCAGCACAGCTCTGAGGGAGGAGAACAAGCCTGTGCAAGCTCTCCAGATGTGCACTCACCTACCTCCAGCTTATGGCTCCAGATGTGCACAAATGGAAAACACCTGTCTCTTCAGATGTGCTCGAGCATCCCTGTGCCTTCAGTTGTGTGCCCAGCTGTGACCCCAGGGACCCCTCCAGCTGTTTGCCCAAGCGCGTGTGCACCCCCAGACCACCCAACCCTCCAAGATGTGAACATCCCAGAGATCCTTGGTCCCCCAGATGCACATGGAAAAGCCTCCCCTCTCCCCAGCTGTGTCCCAAGAGTCCTCCAGATGTGAACCCCCTTTGGGGCACATTTGCCCCCTCCCCAGATGTCCAAACGTGCTTGTGCCCATTTCATCTGCTGCTGTGCATCCAGATGTGAAGTGCCTTGTTCCTCTCCCAGATGTGCACATCTGGATGCGTGTCCCCCATCCTTCCCCATCACCCCTTCACCTCCACACCTCCTCTCTTCCCCCCAGGCCCCTCCGGGTTCCCCACATCCCGACTCCCCCTTTTTCCCCACCTTTGCCCCATTCCAAGTGCCACTGTAACAACCCCCCCTTAACACCCTTCCCCCCATAAAGCCTCCTATTAAAGAACCCCCCTAAATAACACCCCCCCCCCACGATGGACCCCTCCCCAAACTCCCCACCCCTCTACAGGGGTCTCGCTAGAGGAGGCTCTTTGCTTCCCACATCAGCCCCAGCGCATTAATTAAGTGGCCGATTGCTAATTACGGATTCAATGGCACCATGTGCCGATTCCTGCGTGTTCCTTCCCTCCCCCCAAATTCAAGGCCGCTGGTGCTCCCAGCACCCCCGAAGTGTCCCCAGCCCTGCCCGCGCCCCCCCGGTGTTGGGGTACGTGGCCCCCCCGAGCAGCCGCGGTTCCCCGTGGGGTGGGGGGCTGGCGCTGCCTTTTGGGGTTCACTGAGGGGGGTCCCGGGTGGAGGGTGACGGCAGCCCTGTGTGGTGTCACCTAACCTGGTGTGAAGCCGGGGAGCTGCTGCCCCTCTTCCTCCTTCTTCTCCCTCCAACCCGAGGACCCCCCTTTTCCTTTGCTCCCCTAAAAGTCACCCCGATTCCTCTCCACTGTGGAGTCCCCACACCATACGGGACACACCCTCTTCTGTCCCCATCCCGCTCGCAGGGAGGAGGGGGGGACACAGAGACACCTCCATCTGCCCCCGCCCACCACAGCCCTGGCCCGTCCCCCCACCCGAGGGCGGCGCCGCAGGCAGAGCCGAGCCCAAGTGAGCTGAGCCGAGCCGAGCTGGGCTGGGATGGGCTGAGCCGGGCTGGGCTGAGACGCTCAGGACTGAGCCGAGTCGGGCCGGGCTGAGCCGGGCTGGGCTGAGCCGAGCCGAGCGGAGCCCAGCCCAGCCGAACCGAGCCGAGCCGAACCGAGCCGAGCCGAACCGAGCCGAGCTGAGCCGAGCCAAGCCGAGCCGAGCCGAGCCGAGCCGAGCCGAGCCGAGCCGAGCCGAGCCGAGCCGAGCTAAGCTGAACCAGACCGGGCTGAGCCAAGCCGAGCTGAGCTGAGGTGGTCTTAGCCGTGCCGGGTCGTGTGGTGCTGAGCCGAGCCGAGCCGAGCCGAGCCGGGGCAGGATGCTGCGGTACCTGCTGAAGACGCTGCTGCAGATGAACCTGTTCGCCGACTCGCTGGGGGCCGAAGGCTCCAACTCCTCCTCCTCGCTCCTGCTCGGCATCAACCGCTCCATCGCTGCGCTCCACCTGCCCGATCTCGCCCCCGGTAATGGTACGTGGCCCCCGGTCCCTCTGTCCTCTCGTCCCGGGATTCCCGCTTCTGGTCCGGACAGGATGCTGGAAGTAGCCCGCAGCTCCCCCGCCCCAGCCGGGACCCCACAGGCACCGACATTGGGCTCCCAACCTGTTCCCGTGTCCCCAAACCGGGACCTGCCCCGTGTCCCCAAACAGGGACTGACCCCGTCTTCCCACACCAGCCCCATATCTCCATTCCGGGACCAGCTCCCTGTCCCCAGACCAACTCCCAGACTGTGTCCATGACCCTAAACTGAGACCAGCCTGCTGTCCCCAAGTCAGGACCGACCCAATGTCCCCAAACTAGTCTCGTGTTCCCAAATCCTCATGCAGGAGCAGTCCCCAGTCCCAAACCGTCCCTGTGTTCCTACATCAATCCCCAGACTGTGAGCTGAGACAGATATGTCATTCCCAAATTGTTCCCCTGTCCCCGGACCAATCTCCAGACCCCAAAGTGGGGGTGACCCAGTGTACCCAAACAGCCCCTATGTTCCTACCCCCCCCAGTCTCTGAACCAGGACCAGTCCCGTGTCCCCAGACTGTCCCTGTGTCCCCAAACCAACTCCCAGACACTGAGTTAGGAGAGACTCCATGTCCCCAAACCAGCCCTGTGTCCCCGAACTATTTCTACATTCCTAAACCATTCCAGTGTCCGCCAACCAGCTCTGTGTCCCCTAGATGGGACAGAGCAGGGGGGGAAGGGGATGAGGGAGGGGGTGTCTGTCTGAGTTTTACCCCCATTTGGGGCTTTTTCCCTCTTTTTTAGTTTGAACGTCCCCCTCCAGCTGGCCCTGGGTGGCTGGTGAGGGAGGGGGTGTCCCCAAACCCCGCGGGACCCCCCGCCCCCGCACAGCCGGCTGGGCACAGGAGGGGGCCTGGCCTGACCCCCCGCTCATCCCAATTAGCCACCGGGCCCAGCTGCGGCCCCCTCAGTCCCCGCTGTGCCCCCCGGGGGTACCCAGTACCCCGCAGCATCCCTCCCATCCCCATGGCAGCCGCATCCTGTCCCCATGGCAACCCCGCGGGCTCCCCAAATTGCAGCCCCCCCCCCATCCCGCCACAGGACTCTTGGGGCAGGAGGAGGGGAAAGGAGACACAAGTGTGCATGTGTGTGCATGCATGTGTGGTGTGCACGTACGTGAGCGTGTGTGCATGTGTGTGCATGTGTGTGCATGTGTGTGCATGTATGTGTACAGATGTGCATAGATGTGCTTGTATGTGCAGTGTGCATGTATGTGCAAGTATGTGCACACGTGTGTGTGTGTGTACCTCTGCATGCCTGCACATGCTTGTGCGTGTGTAAGGACACGCCCCCCCCATCATGAATGCACACATGTGCTGGTGTGTGTGTGTCTGTAACTACATACGCACGTGTGTGCAGGCGTGTGTGTGTGTGTGTGTGTGTGCATTCACCCCCCATCATGAATGCACGCGTGTGTGCAGACACGTCTGCACCTGCATGTGTAAGGGCATGCACACGCCCTTGCGTGAACGCACACGTGTGTGCATGTATGTGTGTGCAGTGGCATGTGCCTGCGCACACAGTGGCACACAGTGACACTTGGGGACCGACCTGCCGAGCCAGTCCAGGTGGGGCTCAGTCCAGCCAGCCCCAGCATTAACGAGCATTAATTATGCCGGCATTAATGAGCATCCATTAATTCCCATGCCCTAGCAGGGGGGATTTTCCTGCAATGGCCCCACAGACCCAATATGGGGCTTTTTTAAACTTCAGATTAAGCGTTTCCTGCAGCCCGGAGTTACTGGCTCTGCTATGGAAAATCAGCACTTGTAGATGATGGAAAAATCCCTGTTTGGGGAGAATTTAGCCCCAACTCCATTTCCACAGGGATGCCCAGTTGGAAGCTGGGTGGAAAAGGGACTTTACTGGGAATGGAGCTGCTTTGTCCTACTGTCCTTGTCTGAGCTTGCTGCCTCCCCTGAGATGGGGCAGAGGGGGATACGCGGGGCTGAGACCTCGCCACACCTCATCTCACCTCCTGCTCTCCAAGCAAAGCAGGGACTGGAGCCGGGAAAGCGCCGCTCAAGCCAACGGAGGATGCTCAGCCCCCAAGCCCCACCTCCCCACGCCCCTAACTATTCCCGTAGGGTCTCACTCTCAGCTGGAGGACACGGCCCCCCGCATCGTGGAGCACCCCACGGATCTCCTGGTCACCAAGGGGGAACCGGCCACGCTGAGCTGCAAGGCCGAGGGGCGCCCGGCGCCGGCCGTGGAGTGGTACAAGGACGGGGAGCGGGTGGAGACGGACCGGGAGGATCCCCGCTCCCACCGCACCCTCCTGCCGGGCGGCTCCCTCTTCTTCCTCCGCATCCTGCACGGGCGGCGGGGCAAGCCCGACGAGGGGGTTTATGTGTGCGTGGCCAGGAATTACCTGGGGGAGGCCACCAGCCGGAACGCTTCCCTGGAGGTGGCCGGTGAGTCCTGGGGAGAGGGGCTGGGCGGTGATTTGGGTGCGGGTTTAGGGTCTGGTGTCACCGCTGAGCCCAGCCCACTCCGGTGGCTGCGCGGCGAGGGGCTCTCACATCCCCGGGCCTGGCGCTGCCAAGGGAAAAGAGGGGGAAAGAGAAAAAAATCTGTGAAAATAAAGGAAAAGAAGGGAAAATGAAGTATTTGGAAATAAATAAAATAAGTGAAAAGAAATGGAAATTTCCGTAAGTTCAAAAGAAGTGAAAAACATTGGAAATAAATAAAACCGAGGGGAAAGAAATGAAAGAGGCAATGAATGAAAGTAGATGGAAAGAGTAAAGTGAAAGTGAGTGAAAATGAATGAAAAGAGGAGGAAGGAAATTAAAACGTGGGGGGGGGAAGAAATGAAATGAAGTGAAAAGAAGCGAATATAAATGAAAAAATAAAATAAGTGAAAAGAAGTGAAGAAAAATAAAAATAATGAAAAAATGAAAATAATTGGAAATAAAGGAAAAGAAGTGAAGATTACTGAAGTGAAAAGTAAAAATAAGTGAAAATATATGAAAACAACGTAAAAGAAATTAAAAGAAGTTAAAATAGTTGGAAACAAATGAAAATGAGAGTAAACAAAAATAATTGCAACAAAATAAAACCAAATGAAAATAAAATATTTGAAAATCAAGTAAAATCAGTGAAGACAAATTAAAATCAACTAAAGCCAGTGCAGAGGATGTCCCAGGCGCCACTGCCAGGGCTGGGGAACTGAGGGCAGGCTGGTGTGTCCCCCCAGTGCTGCGGGACGATTTCCGGCAGCCCCCCGGGGATGTGGTGGTGGCGGCGGGAGAACCGGCCGTGCTGGAGTGTGTCCCGCCCCGCGGCCATCCCGAGCCCAGCGTCTCCTGGAAGAAGAACGGAGTCCGGCTCAGCGACAAGGACGAGCATCTGACGGTGAGGGACGGGGCGGGGGGCACGAAACCGGGGCCAGGGTGTTGCAGTGGGAGTGTGGGATAAGGTGGGGTATAGGATGCAGTGTTAGTGTAGGATAAGGTAAAGAGATAGGATGCAGTAGGAGTGTGGGATGTGAGAGGGATACAGGATGGGGAAGTGGAATGCGGGATTTGATGGAGGTGCAGGATGCAAAGGGAGATTAAGGATGCAGTGAGGGTCTGGAATGTGATGGGGTGCCTGATGTGATGGGAATGCACAGGGGACTGGGGATGCGATGGGGATGTGGGATGTAATGGGGAGTTCGGATGCAATGAGGATGTGGGAGGTGACTGGGATATGGGATGAGGTGGGGATGTGGGGATGGAGTTGTGGGATGCAAAGATTTGGGATGCAATGGAGATATGGAATGTGATGAGGGTGTAAGTAAGTGCAGTGGGAATATGAGATGCAGTGAGGATGTGCGATGTGATGGAGATACAGGATGCTGTCAGGACGAGAGGTACAATAAGGATTTGGGGTGCAGTGGGGATATGAGATACAGTGGAGATGCAGGATACAATGGGAATGCTGGATTTGATGTGGATGGGGGGGGTGATGTGCTTCCCACAGATCCGTGGAGGGAAGCTGATGGTGGCCAGTACCCGCAAGAGCGACGCTGGTGTCTACGTCTGTGTGGCCACCAACGTGGTGGGGGAGAGGGACAGCGAGCCGGCCGAGCTGGTGGTCTTTGGTGCGTGGGGGTTACGTTGAGGGTGCTGAGGGGTGGGTGCCATCCCAGTGGGACTGACGGCTGCCCCACAGAGCGCCCGGCATTTGGAAAGAGGCCCCTGAACCAGGCAGTGCTGGTGGAGGGGACGGCAGAGTTCGCCTGTGAGGTGGTGGGGGATCCCCAGCCAGCAGCGCGGTGGCACAAGGAGGAGGGTGAGATGCCACTGGGAAGGTGAGCAGGGGGTGAGGGGGCTGTTGGGGGGCACCAGGACCATCAGTGCAGGGCTCTGCAGTGCATCTGGGTGGCATTACTGTGTGCCAACCTGGCATCCCCACAACCTCAAGTACCCCTATCACATCCTATATCCTCGGCACACCCTCCATCCTCAGCATATCCTGCATCCCTGTTGCACCTCAAGTCCTCATTGCATCCTGCATCTCTGTTGCATCCCACACCCCCATCACATCCCACACCCCCGTCACATCCCACACCCCCATCACATCCCACACCCCCATCACATCCCACACCCCCGTCACATTCCACATCCTCACCACATTTCACATCACCAGTGCATCCCTCATTTTCCTTGCATCCCAGATGCCTGTTGCACCCACATCCCCATCACATCCCTCATCCTCACTGCATCCCAACCCCATGGCACCCCACGCTGTCCTGGTGCCCCGGCACTCTGCTGGCTCCACGTCCTCGCGGGGTTCCCCACAGGTGGGAGGTGCTGCCGGACAATACCCTGCGGATCAGCCGGCTGCGAGCAGAGGATGAGGGCACCTACACCTGCGTGGCCGATAACAGCGTGGGCAGGTCGGAGGCATCTGGCACCCTCACCGTGCACGGTAAGTGAGGCCCTGGGGACCCTCCTTGGGTGCTTGTGAAGTGTCTGGGCAAGCCCTTGTCTCTCCCCACACTCGGCAGTGCCCCCCCAGCTGGTCACTGGGCCCCGTGACCAGGCTGTCAACCCTGGCCAGAGCGTGACCTTCCAGTGCCAGAGCAAGGGCAACCCACCGCCAGCTGTCTTCTGGCAGAAGGAGGGGAGCCAGGTCTGTGCCCATCTCTGTCCACATCCCTGTCTCCATCCTTGACCCCAGACCCAACCACAGCCCCGTCCTCATCCCAATCCCCACACCATCCCTCTCCCCATTCCATCCTCCTCCCAATCCCATCACTGTTGTCTTCCATTTCCATTCCACCTCATCCCCATTAACATCCCTGTTCCAATTCCCACCCCATCAGCGTCTCATCCCCATCCCAATCTCAACCCATCTCATCCTCATCCCAGTTCCCATTTTCATCCCCACCCAGTCCCTATCACCATCCCATCCCTGTCCCCATTCCACCCTGATCCCAATCCTCATCCCATTCCATTCCATTCCATTCCATTCCATTCCATTCCATCTCATCCCATTCCATTCCATCCCCATGGCCATCCCTGTCCCTACCTTGTCCCATCCCACTCCTCCCTCCTCCCCCACTCAGCCCTCTCCCTCCCCAGACCCTGCTGTTCCCGGGCCAGCCCCCGCTCCCCTCCAGCCGTGTTTGGGTGAGCCCTGGGGGTGCCATGACCATTGCCGATGTCCAGCCCGGTGACGCCGGCCACTACCTGTGCCAGGCCATCAGCGTGGCTGGCAGCGTCCTGGCCAGGGCACGCCTGGAGGTGACGGAGGGTAAGTATGGCACCAGCAGAGAACTGGCGCATTTGGTGCAGGAGTGGCACCCACCACACCCCCCAACAATTCCCGGTTTCCCCCCGTAGCACCCACCGAGCTCCACCCGCCGATGGTCAGGCCCCTTCCCGCCAACCGGACGGTGCTGCCGGTGGGGGCCACGGCATGGCTGCCTTGTGGGGTGGGGGATGGTGACCCCCCGGGCAGCGTGGGGTGGCTGAAGGACGGCAGTGCCCTGGTGGGTGCCCAGCCCCGTGCCAGCCTGCTGGAGAACGGCACCCTGCAGATCACCGGCCTCCGGGTGAGCCGGCCCCAGCAGGGGCACCCATGGGAGTCCTGCAGGGAGGGGAGGGGAGCAGTGGGTGTGGGGGGTGGTGCAAAAGGAGGTGGGTGCTCAGGGTGGTGGGTGCAAGCAGCGCTGGGGCTCAGGGTGATGGGTACAAAGGGTGGTGGGTGCAAGGGGGTGTGTGTGCAAAGGGAGATGGGTGCTCAGGGTGATGGGTACAAAGGGGGGTGGGTGCCCAGGGGGTGGGTGCTGAGGTGATGGGTGCTCAGGGTGATGGGGCAGGAGCTCTTCCCCCCACAGGTGAGAGACTCTGGGCTCTATGAGTGCGTGGCCACCAGCCCAGCGGGCGAGACACGCTGGGGCAGCTCCCTGGAGGTGCAAGGTGGGTCACAGGGATGTCACTGCTCCGAGGACACCATGGCACCGAGGACAAAGCAATCCCAGACCTCCACACATCTCCCTGCAGGTGATGAATCTGATCTCTCCCCACCTTCCCCTGTGCCTGGAGTCCTCCCTGGGCCACCCTCCACCCCTGTGGTCACCAATGTCACCAGAAGCAGTGTCACCCTGAGCTGGAAAGCGAACAAGGACAGTGATGCCACCCATGTCACTTCTTACGTAGTGGAGGCTTTCAGGTATCACTCAAGCATCTTCTCTGGCTGCAGGGATGATGTGGTGGCCTGGTACCACCCTGTCTCGGGTCACCCCTGTCCCTTGGCAGCCAGGCGGCAGGCGGCCTGTGGCGGACGGTGGCAGCCGATGTGGAGGGGGAGACCCACACAGTGAGTGGCCTCGTCCCGGACACCGTCTACCTGTTCCTGGTGCGGGCGGTCAATGCCTACGGGCTCAGTGACCCCAGCGGCATCTCAGAGCCTGTGTGCACCCAAGGTGAGACCCAGCGGCCACATCGGTGGAGGTGTCTGTGAATCCACCATCCACCTCCACTTGGTGACACCAATGGAGGTGCCCGTGCACCCAAAATCTTCGGGTCCATCCTTGCCCACTGGTACCAGTGGAGTTTCCCATGTACCCGCCATGGGAACGTGGTGTCACCGTGGCCTCTCCACTTGGTGACGCCAGCAGGGATGCCCATAGACCCTCCATTCTCTCATGGACCCTCCATTCACTCATGCTCCCAGCAGATGCCAGCCCCACGCAGCAAGGGCTGGACCCTGAGCAGGTGCAGCGGGAGCTGGCCCAAGTGGCCGTGCACCTGCAGGAGCCCGTGGTGCTGCCGCTGGGCGCCGTCCGCCTCTCCTGGACCGTGAGTGTCGCCCCCCGCCGCCAGCACAGGGCTCCCGGTGCCGAGCATCCCCCCATCCCACCCTCCCGTTGGGCCCACAGGTGGAGCGCCCAGCGCCCTTCCTTCAGGGCTACCGCGTGCTGTACCGGCGGCGTGGTGGGCGCTGGGAGGAGGCGCGGGCGGTGCGGGCGCCGGAGGAGCGGGGGGCCCTGCTCACCGAGCTGCGCCGCGGCCAGGACTACGAGGTCAAGGTCCGGCCCTACTTCCATCAGCTCCACGGTCCAGACAGCGCCGTGCGCGCTCTGCGCACCCCAGAGGCAGGTGAGTGTGGGAGTGGAGGGGGAGGTGGGGATCCCCAGGGGACAACCTGGAGGTGACACCCCATGTGTCCCCCACCGGCAGCTCCCAGCGCCCCCCCGCGAGCTGTCAGTGTGGCTGGGAATGGCACCAGTGTCCGCATCTCGTGGCAGCCACCACCACTGGCCGAGCAGAACGGCGTCATCCGGGATTACCGGGTAAGGGTGGACAGCAGCAGGGACGTAGCAGGTCCCCTCTGTCCACCCATGACACCATGTCGTGGTGTCCCTCATCTTTTCCCCCCTGCACCCAGATTTGGTGCCTGGGCAACGAGAGCCGCTTCCACATCAACCAGAGCGTGGAGGGGACGGTGCTGGCGACAGTGCTGCGGGGACTGGTCCCCGGGGTCCCTTACCACGCCGAAGTTGCTGCCGCCACTGGCGCCGGTGTGGGCGCCCGCAGCGCCCCTGTCCCCATCCACATCGGTGAGTCTCTTGTTGCCACGGCCGCACCGACGGGTGGGGGACGGCAGGGGTCACTCACTGCGGTGCTGCGGATGGCTCCTCGGCACCCTGCCTTCCCCATGCCATTCGCAGCCCCCCTGGTGGAGCGGGATGCGGGGCCAGCAGGCGGAAGCAGCATGGCCGAGCGTTTGGCTGAGGTGGCCAGGCAGCCAGCCTTCATCGCCGGCGTCGGCAGCGCTTGCTGGGTCGTTCTCGCCGCCTTCGCCGCGTGGCTCTACAGCCGCCGCCGGAGGAAGAAGGAGCTCAGCCACTTCACCGGTACAGAGGGGGTGCTGCCCCTGGGACTCCCCACCCCTCACCCATCACCCACCAGCCACCTACTTCCCCTCTCTTTACAGCGTCCTTTGCCTACACACCCACCGGTAAGCCCGTAGGTGGCGCGGGGTCCCGGCGCGGACTCTCGCCGCTCTCAACGCCCTCTCTTTCCGCAGTCGCCTTCCCGGCTCCAGGGCGCGGCAGCCCCAGGTAAGCCCCTGGCTATCCCCCGCCCTCCCCAGGAGCCCCAGCTTTGACCACCAGCATCCCTTCACCCCGTCTCTTTGCAGGGCAGCCGCCGGCAGCGGTTACCCGTGGCTGGCGGACGCGTGGCACGGTGGCGGCACAGCCAGTGCTGCCGGTTGTTTGGGCACCGCTGAGAGATACTACAATGGTGAGGGGTCAGCACGGGGACGGCTGGGGGGCTCTGAGTGGGGGGGTCATGGTCAACCCTGATGGTGCCAGCTGCCCTCTGCAGACGCTGGCATCACCCGTTACATCGCCCAGACGGAGCAGTTTGGGGCGGGGACCGGCGAGGGGCCGGTTTACAGCACCATCGAGGTGGACAGTGAGGAGATCTGCACCTTCCCCCGTCCCTTCTCGCAGTATGGGACCCCCTATCCCGGGATGGGTCCTCAGCTGATAGATGCTGCAGCCTCCCAGGCACCCCGAGGATGGGCTGAGCACGGTAGGGTGGTGGGATGGGTGGGGGGACGCAGGGGAGCAGGTGGTGTGGTCCCCTCCCCACAGCCCCCCCAGCATCCCTCCTTGCCGCAGGGGCCAAAGCAAAGCTGGGGCAACCGGTGAAACTGCCAGCTGTGAGTTGGACAGAGCTGCTGCCCCCTCCACCCTCGGCCAGCGAGCTTAGCCAGTGCACCCAGGAGAAGGAGGAGGAGGAGGAAGAGGAGGATGAAGAGGAAGAGGCAGCTGGAGGGTGAGTGTGGAGGCCTGGGGGGGCAGGGGCCTGCTGCTGCCAGCACGCACCCTGTGGTCTCTGCCCTGCAGGCCGGAGATGGAGGTGTGGTACCCCGGTGAGGACGTCCCCTGTGCCACCGCTGCATCCTCACCCACCAGCTCCTCTGGCTGCCAGTCCACCACCATGTTGACGCCATCGCCCCGCGCCACCGAGGACATTCCCCGCCTCCGTGACTTCGACAGCTCCCGCCTGCCCCGGTAAGAGATGGGCCTTGCTTGGTATGGCCGTGCCAGTGGGGTTTGGATGTCCCTTTGGGGTGCAGGTGTCCCCCCATGGTCTGGGTGTTCCATTGTGATTCAGCCATGTTGTTGCTATCCAGCCCTGCTGTGCCATTATTGTCCAATTGTCTCATTGGGGTCCAGATGTTTCATAGCGGTCCAGATGTCCCACTGGGGTCCAGATGTTCCATCACAATCCATCCATTTTGTCACCATTCAGCATGCTGTGCTGTCATGGTCCAACCATACCACTGAGGTCCAGATGTGCCATCTGAAGTCTGGGTGTCCTGTTAAGGTCTGGATGTCCCATCACAATCCAGCCATGTTGTCGTGACCCAGTCCCACTGTTCCGCCATGGTCTGACCTTGCCACTGGAGTTAGAATGTCCCACCACAGTCTGGATGACCCATCACAGTCTGGGTGTCCCATCACAACCCAGCCATGTTGTCACAATCTGGTCCTGCCATGCCACCATGGTCTGGCCATACCATGGGGGAGACTGGATGTCTTGCTGGAGTCTGGATGTCCCACCATGGTCCAGCTGTCCCTTTGTGATACATCCATGACATCACCATCCATCCCTGCTCTCCAGCTGTGCCCTGGCCATGCTGCCAGGACACGCCCACGACAGTGTCAGCTGACTGGGGCATAAAAATTCCACTGTACCATCACAAGCCATCATCATCCAGCTGTGCTGTCGTGGCCCAGCTCTGCCATGATCCAATGGTGCCATCCCAAGCCAACAGTGCCATCACAATGCTGGCACGTCACTGCACGCCAGCTGTACTGTTGCAATCCAGCCCTGTGGTTGCAATCCAGCTGTGCTGTGATCCAGCTGTGCTGTGATCCAGCTGTACCTTGATCCAGCTGTGCCATGATCCAGCTGTGTGGCTGCAATCCAGCTGTGGCATCAGGGGCCAGCTGCATCATTGCCATCCAACTGTGTGCTTGAAATCCAGCTGTTCTGTGACCCAGCTGTGCAGCTGAAAGCTGTAATCCAGCTGAGCAGCCATTATCCAGTTGTGCTCCAGCTGTGCCATTGCATGCTGGCTGTGCCATTACAACCTTGCTTATGATCCAGCTGTGCTCCTCCCCTCCAGCTGTGCCACTGCACTCATCCACCTGCCCTTTGCCAGCCCAGCTGTGTGACTGCGATCCAGATGTGGCACTGCCATCCAGCTGTGGTGCTTCAGCCCACCCACACCAGTGCCATCCAGCTGTGCCAACACCCCGTGCCTTCCCCTGGCTCCGGCACAGCTCTGAAGGAGTTGTGCCAGCCAGCACTGTGGTGGCCACTGAGCCACCATCCTAATTCCCCCACCTGGCTTCATCCCAACCCCCTTTGCCAGGAGACCCCCCCACAGCGCCGGCACCCCCCCCCAGGCACCCAGTCCTGCAGTGACTCCGGATGCCAGCGAGGGCCCCCCACCCCGAGCCCGCTGCCCCCTCGGCACAGGTGAGCCCTCGGGCGCTGCTTTGGGTGGGTGGGCACCGCACTGACTACGTGGGGAGGCTGACACTGCCATCCCCCCCCAGGGAAACAGCGCGGGGCAGCCCCTAAAGGTCGCCTGAAGCCCAAATGCAGCCGCTACTGCCGAGAAAAGCAGGCGGGAGGTGAGTTGGGGGAAAAAAATAGGGGCTTCAGGTGTGTCCAGAAGGGCTTAGCCTTCTCCTTCCTCTCCACCTCAGACCTGCCGCCGCCGCCGCTGCCGCCGCCGGGCGAGACCCCCGGCCCCTCTCCGGAGCGGGAGCCCAGCGGGGCCGAGCGCAGGGCCCCCCATCGCCCGCCCCGCGGCGGTAAGCCGGGGCCACCGGCTGTGCGACAAAGGGGCTGCGGGTGTCACTGCCGACCCCCAACCTTGTTCCCTCCCCTGCAGACGAGCTCGTCTCCTACAGCAAGCCCTCCTGCCTGCCCCGCGGGCAGGTGTCTGGCAGCTGTTCCACCACAGGCAGCGTCTCGTCCCGCGGCTCCGCCAGCTCCCGCGACCACGGCTCGGGGCGCAGCCGCGTCCCTGGGGACCGCGGCGAGGGGACTGGCCAGCGCCGCCGCCCGGGGGCCACATTGCCCGGCCCGTCGCAGGAGAAGCGATAAAGTGGAGGGCAAGCCGGTGACAGGGTTGGGGACACGGGGGACACGGAGGGACGTTCTTTAATTTCTGGGTGGCACCACGTAAATAGGGTTGCACAGAGCCGGCGGCCGGTGGGCGTCAGAGTGAGGGGGGACAGGGCTGCTCGGGGTGGGACAAGGATAATCACAGAGGATGAGGACCCTGGGGAAGGACAAAAATGCTCAGGGAGGGAGGAGGATACTTGGGGAGGGATGAGGACCCTGGGGACAAGGACGATAGGGAAGCATAGGGATACAGTTCAGAGGATGAGGATGCTTGGGGAGACCAACGACAGTCATGAGGAATGAGGACCCTGGGAAGGGATGGGGATGCTCAGGAGGGACAAGGAAGACGCTCAGGGAAGGAGGAGGAGCCTGGGGACAGAGACAGTTGCTCGGAGAGGGATGAGGATGCTGGGGAAGGATGAGGATGCTGGAGAGAGATAAGCATGATGCTTAAGTAGAGCAAGGATCCTGGGTACAAGGACAGTTCGGAGGAACAGGGACACTGGGAAAGGACAAGGATGGCTGTGAGGGATGAGGATGATTGAAATGGATGGGGGCAGTTGGGATGAGATTACAAGGGAGGGACAAGGGCACTGCAGATGGTTTAGGGTGCTGGTGAGTGACAAAGAAGGCAGGGGGATAAGGATGCCTGGGGGCAAGAGGGCACAGAGAAAGGACAAGGTTGCTTGGGAAGGACCAGGACAGTAGTAAGGGATGAGGAGGACAGTTGCAGGGGGATGAGGACAATGGGAAGGGACAAGGACACTTGGTGTGTGGGGCAAAAAAAATTAGAGAAGGATGAGGACACTCAGGAGGGCTGAGGACCCTTGGAATGAGGATGGTTAGGAGAGACAAAGGCACTCAGAGGAGGCACAGATGGCTTGGGAAGGATGAGGATACTTGGGAGGGACAAGGATGGTTGAGGTGGGACAAGGATGCTGAGGAAGGACATGGACTATTAGAAAGGACAAGGACAGTTGGGAGGAATGGGAATGGTCACTGGGCCCGGGGATGGTCAGGGGGACAACCCTGGGGAAGGACAAGGACACTTGGGATGGACATCAATGCTTGGGCTGGACAAGGAAAGTTGGGGGGGAGAAGGATGCTGGGGAAGGAGGAGGGCACTGGGGAGGGACGAGGACACTGGGGAGGGATGAGGACACTTAAAGGGGATGAGGGTTCTTGGGGAGGATGAGGATGCTGGGGAGGAATGAGGAATTTGGGAAAGTATGGGGACACTGAGGAGGGATGGGGACACTGCGGAAGGATGGAACATTTGGGAAGGGCAAGAACACTGGAGAAGGAGGGACACCCACCCACCTTGGTGCCACCCACCCTTTGTGGGTGGCTTTTCCTAGTAAAGAGCCCCTTTTTGGGGAACTGCCTAATAAAACTGGATTTTAGCTGAGCCAAGGGGACTCTGGCCTTGCTGCGTCCTGCACCCTGGGGACCTCCACACTCCTGTCCCTCCTGTCCCCAGCTCGCCGCCTGCCCTGGCCCAGGGGCTGCCACTCCCTGATCCCTGGCCACCTGGGAAGAAAAGGGGACATTTTCCAGCACCCCACAACAGATGGGACTCCCACCCCCAGTGCCCATCACCCCAGCTTTGGGGCACCACTCACCATTCTGTGTGATGCCCAGAGCTACCTCTGCCCCAGCTCTCTGTGGGACCCCCAGGGCTGTCCCCCAGTCCCAGGTGGAGGTTGGGACCCCAGGTGAGAAGACCCGCTCCAAGGGTGATGGTGGCGGTGAGGGACCTGCAGGAGATGGTGGCACCACCGTGGTGACCTGGCAGAGACACCTTCCCCAGGGAGGTGACCATCCTCGGGGTCAGAGAGGGGTCAGGCATTCTTCACTCACCCCTGTAAACCCTGTCAGTGTCCTCAAGGCCGTAGCAGAGGCCATCGACGGCCACGGCCAGCGCGCGGGCGAAGCTGGCGTCCAGGAGGAAGGAGCCGTCGCAGGAGCTCACCAGGCTGCAGCGGGCACTGGCAAAGTTGTCCTCTGAGACGGACCCCCAGCCGTTCAGCAGAGACCCCCCCGGCGAGCCCCTCGTCGCCGTCCGCTCTTCCTCGTCCTCTTCCTCTTCCTCCTCCCCCTCCTCCTCCTCCTCCTCGCCCAGCTCGGAGGTCGGTGGCCCGTAGATGTAGCCGTAGGTGTGCAGTGGTGAGAAGGACTGTGGCGTGGTTGGTGCCGGGGGTCTGTGGGGGACGTCGTGGGAACACTGATGGCACTGGGGGGCGCTGCCATCATGGGACTGTCCCACGGGGATGGGGCATACCTGAGGCAGGTGGTGTCCTGGTCCATCTCCAGGTCCTCAGCCACCTGCTGTTGCGTGAGGACCCCGTCGCTGAATGCTGGTGAGAGGCGCCCGGTGACTGGGGACCTGTCCCTTGGGTGCCTGGTGTCTGAGGACATGTCCCTGGGGTATCTGGTAGTCAGGAACATGTCCCTTGGTTGCCTGGTCTCCAGTGATGTGTCCCTGGTGTGGCTAGTGGCTGGGGACATGTCCTTGGGGTACCTGGTGCCCAAGAACACGTCCCTTCGATGACTGGTTACTGGGGACACCTCTTCAGGATGCCTGGTGACTGAGGATGTGTCCCTTATGTGCCCAGTGGCTGGGGATGTGTC